AAGATGGATGGAAATGGCAGAGCATTGTGCGAGAATTTCCACACCACAAGTGGAAATCCATCAGCCCTGATGATCCTCCATCCTCTTTGACTTGATCTCCTTCTGTTTGGCAGTTGACAATTGATGGCCAGCACATTTATCTTTCACTTGTTGCCGTTTTTCCGCTTTTGTCTTGCACCTTATTCAGCCATCTCTCTCTGACTCTCTTTCTCTTCTCTCTCTCTCTCTCTCTTTATTGTTTGACTCTCTCTTTCGTGTCTCTGACTCCGCGGGGCCTTTTGAAGTGAGCCCCCGTTTTGACAAATGTGTGTCATTGCTGGGCCATCAAAAGACACGATCGTTTCAGTTTGTTTTACTTAGTTTTGTATTTTTGTTGTTGTTGAGTTTTTTTCGAATTTGATTTTGTTTGGCAAGGTGTATTTTTTCGGCTATTAATGCTGCTTGATGGCTACAGAGAGACACAAAAAACGTTAAGACCAAATCAGGTGACTGGCAATCTGAAGATGATCATTATTATCATCCTCATTGATCGTCAGCGTGATCCACAGCCAGCCATTCGAAGCGAAGCTGAAACAACTTTCAATGAATAGGATGGGAATTCAGAACTCACTGGCAGTTCATTCAATCGATCACTCTTTATGCGTGGTCTGCGATGGAACTGATTGAATAGCGACGTGATCTTTTCATTTTTAGCGGATCACTTGGGACTATTCTGGCTGATCCAATTCATCCGCTCTTAACTCATTCCATAGATCTTTTTGAGACTAATTTCTGAAGGGATCATCAAAATAGAACACTCTTAGTGATTGGTATTACACTGAAAATGATACCAATGAGACTGTTTAGGACCTGGCATGACATTTGTGGAACAACTCTCTAGTCCCTGGGGGTATCTGGGGGATGCCAGAAAATGAAAATGAAAATGAGAGCAGAATGCGACAGCCAACAAGCACTAAATGTACCGCCACACATATGCACGTATGCATATGTATGTGTGAATGTTTAACAACTTTCATTGTGGCGACAGCGAGGAATATCTAAAAAAAAATGCCATCACATTTTGAAATAGTTTTCCAAAAAACAACCCAACAAGCACACATACACACTGAACCCTGACGGCGACAAAGATATTTTCAGTTTACTCTGCTTTATGGCAGGGTGGCATGAAATCGGCCAAAAGAACAGAACTTGGAGAACTTACCCTACCCTACCCTATTGGCTACGCTATCCGAAGAATGTTAATTTAAAGTCAAAGCTAAGATCCTCAGTAGATATTAAAGTGGTTGTTACAGTGTATTCCATCTTCGGCGTTCCCCCGTTTAACTGGCAAAAGTAAGAAGAGAATTTCTCAACATTCGCTTTTGCATCATTTCAGAAGCCATCAACGGCGACACGGCGGCAGAAAAGCTCGCCACAATTTTCATTTCAGTTGGGGAGAGATGCTGCCTGGCCACGGCCACCCCTCCCATCTCTGCGGAGTAGCTGCGTAGGTGTACGGGGATGTCCGTCCTCTGTCCGCCTTTCCGACCGTCCGTCCGTCCGACCGTATGTGCGGGGCACTGTCAACTGTTGTTGAAAGATTTTCGTGTCGTTGTTTCCATGCCGCCTGCCATCAGACGACAGACATGAATTTTCCCCGCAATGAAATAGAAAAAAAAAAGACAGAATACATTTCGAAAACTTTTCTCATTCCTTCAACATTTTTTCAAGATATTTCCTCGTGGTTTTTTGTCGCTTGCTCTGGCGAGCAGTTCATACAAAACGTAAAAAGATTTAGCAATAGCAATGAATTTAGTTAATTTATGGCATTATTAATAACATCTATAGGAGAAAAGCGAACAAAAATTTCAAAAATGAGAACTCACTGAAATGTTCTGCACCATACAGGATGCTAGAACACTTTCGCAATAGCCGAGAAAACTAATAAAAGACCATTCCCATATCTGATCTAGATCTGGAGTGGGGCAAATACTGATCTCTAATATCAGTTACATTTTCAAAAGAAATTTCTACACGTTTAAGATTCTTGAAGAAGGTTATTCAATTGATTCCCTTCAATATAATAGATCCCGAAAGGCACCGAAAATGTAGCTTGTAGCTCTTTGGAACAATCGTGGATTTTCACTGGGTCAGCATAGATTATGCAGAGATTATTGAATGATGATAGCTGGGGCCAAAGCCATAAATACTTTCGGATTGAGTTCCGATGCTTGTGAATGGCACGAGCTGAACATCATCAACCTGCATAAAATGCAAATAAGCCTCACAATGGAGACGCCAGACAGCGCTCCGGCCCAAGAACAATTTACGACCCAATCAATGGAGCTTCAAAAGCTGTTTCTTTGGTTTTCATTTTGGCATTTTGGGCGTTTGTCTTTGAGTTTTGTTTTTGGGTTTTGTTTGGGTCCGACTAACAGCGCGGGCTGCGGTTAGTATTGCTCGAGTGGTTTCTGGTTTTCGAGACTTCCAATCGCCCCAGCGATATTTACATTAATTTGTGAACAAAGTATGGCATATTATGCAAATATTTGACAGATTCGAGTCCGTCAGTTTCCCCTAGCAACCAAACGAGAAATATTCAGAGTGCAGCCATCCAGTGCTCGACGGGGCCATACTCAGTAATAGATCCAAGCTAATCCGAAAGATAGGAGCAAATCAGCCAAAAAATAAATGCCTATCTTCAAGGATTTGTCGTGTATACCCGTTGTACCCTACCCACCGTCAAGCGGGGAATGGTAAGCTCAGATTGAGACACAAAACTGACCCGAAACTGTCCGAGTGAAGCGTGAGGTTTGTGGAGTGGCGTGGCGTGGCGTGGCGCTGGCCGATAACCTGGATGACTCTCCAGCTAGATCAGGCACTTAATTAATGTTATTTAGCATTGACTTGAAATTTAATAGTGCCCAGTTCTCAGTCAAAGTCGACATCGTCAAAACAGCTCCATCGCTTTGTGCTGGGCGCATTCCTTGGCGGCAACTTTGAACCCCACTGAGATTAAGCATTTTTCTGCTGATTCCAAACTATTGAAAGTGTAGATCAGATCGTCCCCATTGTATGTGTGCTTGAAGGTCCCCTACCAGCACTCAGGGAAACCATGAATGAGATTTCTTAAATTCAACAACAATACCAAAATATATACATATGTACATACATATGTATGTATGTATGTATGAAATTCACCGAACTATGTTTCTGGGGGGAGCTGTTCAAGGCGAAAGTTAATTTTAGCCAGGGCCAGCGAAAGGTTTTTCTTCTTCGAAGGCAATTTATTATTCAAATTTATGGCGATATTAACACGAAAATTGAAATAACACTTTTACGCATTTGACATTTTTATTGGCCACCCCCATACCCCATAACCCCGGCAACAGCGCCACCCCTCTCCGCAAGAGTGCCGCAAGAACAACGAAACAGATGATAAAAAAGATTTGTACCAATTCCGATGCGAAGAAGACATTTAAAATTAAGTCTCAAGTCACCTCGACGCGACGCTGCCCCGAGTGCGCCTAATTTATTGCATAATTATAGGAAAATGCCGAGACAACAAAGTAAAAAGATTATCGCACGTCTTGACCCCAAGAATTAAATAATATATGCTTATACTTATTTCGAAATTTAATTCGGTTGAATCTGTCTGTTTTCTAGAAACATTTTACCAACTCTAAAAAAATATTGAACGTAAGCAGATGAAAAATTCCATAGACACACACACACACAGACATACACACTCAATGGCAGTCCTATTGGAAATTGGAAACATGTAATTTGCATAAAATCACCTGATTGAACGTTAAATATTTTTAAGATTCAGATTATAATATAGAGAGATGAAATGCTCATAAAGTTCACGATCAGGCGGCACTAAAAAGAGACAACAATAAAAATGGGAGTAGTCGGAGAAGCAAACAAAACACTGAACGAAATCGGTGTGTACCATAAATGCCAGCTATCAAGAAGGGGTCCCCCATATCTTTCCAATTTCTTGCCGTGCAGATGGAGCGCAGGGGGAGAGAGAGGACGGACTGTTAGCCCAACTTATGGAGCACCTTGCCTTAAGTCCGGCAAACATATTTGCATAAATTAACCAAATGCCCAGCTATTTTACATTTTTAACGAACCACAGAAAATATATTATGCAAATTGAAATGATTGGGTACTCTACCTCTACTCCCCTTTGATCACTTAACGTTTGTTGTTTGTTGTTTCTTTTTCAATTTCTTTATCGATTTATGTGCAAAGGGATATAAATTAGAATTTTATGACATTTATAGGAGGCGGACGGACCGAAAATGTGTCAGTCATGTAAGCATAAATAAAAGAAATTATAATTAATTAATTTTTGTCGCTGCTGCTGAAAGCTGTGGGATATATTCCTCCTCTTTACCTAATAGCGTTTGGCCTTGAATCGCATTAGTTAGAAAGAGACCACAATACAAGTGCTTTTAACACTTCCGTTTCCGTTACAACAAAACAACCAACCGATAGATATCTACAAATTGAAGTGTTGCAAAACGACGGACGGCAGCGATAGTTGAAAATGATAAGGTATTTTTCGGTATATTTCTGAGTGTATACTTAGGTTGACCGCTTACGGCATATTATATACGTTTCGGAGTATTTTGACTGTTCTAAGTATATTTACGGTATATCTGTATATAAAAGTATATAAAATCAATTCATCAATCCATATTTGAAGGTATATTAAAGTGCTTTTTAAAACTACCGCCGAACTTCATTTAGCGCACCAAAAATACCGAAATTGTTCCTTGGAGCAACGCTCTCTCAACTCATTTCTGGTGAAATATATCGTGGGAATATTTTTTTGTACCTAAAGAGGAAGGATGGATCTACAAAAAGAATATACAAACAGTATTATATTCCTCGGCTTAATTGAAGGTTTTTTACTGTTTAAATAAAGGGGGTTTATGTGGGCTAAGCCCTTTTTATTCTTTGGTATGTTTACGGTATGAAAATTACAAGGTATATTTCGGTATATTTCTGGTCACACTGCTACAAAGCTTGCTTCATTTTTGTTTTGACTTTAAAATTTGGCAGAAAACAGAATGGATGATCCGCTCAAACCCAAGCCGGTGCCACTGGCGGCCGAGACGGTCTTATGGTTTGAATTCCTGCTCGATCCGCACAAGATAACGCAGCACCTGCAGCGCACACATCCCGGTAAGCAGCAAAGGTCCCACTTGTGGAGCTCTGGTGACACAGCTAACGTTTTTTAACAGAGCCGAGCGCCTTGGAGTTGATCATGCAGTTCATCAGCGTGACGCCGGACACGTCGGCAACGTCTGTGGTGACGCCTGGAAGCGACCTGCAAAACCTGCCGGGCGCCACTGTGGGAGGAGCAGTCAATTCCCCCACGCCCGCTGCGTCGGCGGCTCTCAATGTCTCACCGCTGGAACAGCAGCAGCAGCAGTGGCCAGGGGAGAATGGCCTGGAACTCACCAGGAAGCAGTTGGCCCTGAAAATTCTCGAATTGAAGGTTGCCACATGGCTGCGGTGGGACCTAGACATGCTGGAGAAGAACCTGCCCGTGCTAATGCAGCTGGCCTTGCTGCGTGATCTCTGCACCATTAGCTATGGCCGCAATCTGAGCATTCCCCTTGCCAGTGACTTTGATTTGAAAATATGTAAGTCCCATGGAAAAACTGAAGCGAAAAGAGTTTGGATAATCTTTACCTTTGTATGTCCCTTAGCCGGCTCTGGGAACGAGCGTGCTGCGCGGTTTGCCCTCACCATATATCATCGCCTACTGCTGCGGCTGCAGCTCGTTAAGGAGAGTGCTCCCTTCAGATTCCAGCCGATCGATCAGCTGCAACAGTTCCTGGAGTCGCCGACGCAACCTTCCATTGAGTATCTGCAGCAGCTGTGCACATCCAGCAAGCCCTTCTATGTGTTCCACTACGACAGCTTTGTGACCCTACATTGCGATGATCTCAGCACCGGCCAGAACTACGACATTATGCATCTGATCAGCCCCCAGGAGCTGCGTGCCCAACTCAACTACGAGCTGGCCCACTATTACCTGTACACCAAACAGTATGTGCTGGCGAGGGAGTCGGCTGCCGCCTGCAACAACAACCTGCAGGCGATATCTCCGCAAACCACCCTCTACTTCTGCCACATTCGGCCCGTGGAGCTGGAGGGGCTGCTGCTCGCGTGCGGAATCAGCGCTCAGAATCATACTCTGATGGAGCGTTTCCATCAATCGCTGCTGAACAACTATGCGGAGATTCTGACCATTCTGCGGCTGGATAACCTGGCACGCGAAATTCCACTGGTCAGTCGACGCAATCTGGAGCTGGACATTGAGGGCGCCATCTCTACGGGACAGCTCAAGGAGTCGGCACAACTTCAGCTGCAGGTGGCTGCCCTCAATATGGTGCGAAATATCTTCGAATGGGGCAGCATATTTGGCAGCGTGGAGTACTTTGAGAAGTATCGCGAGCTGGACTATCTGCCGCCCCTTGTGGAGGCCCTCACAGAGGTGCTGCCCCACTGCAACAAGGCGGAACAGTCGGCCCTCAAGCATTTCCTCATCGACTGCATGCTCCACCAGGCACAGCCACCGCAGTCCAAACAACTGCTACAGGTCGTGCGGGATTTGGATATCTTCACGGTCGAGGAGCTGGAAGATTTGGACGATCAGATGCTGCAGGCAGCACCTCCCGTGCCCAACAACTCTCTGGCCTCGCTCACCGACTGGATGTGCCACTCCAAAAGTATGTGGCAATCGATATCGCTAATGCTCCTCGCATTTATAATCCTTTTTGTGTGTTTCTGTGCAGGCACTCGTGTGGACGTGGCTGCCCTGGAGCGGCAACTGATCAGCTGTTCGAATGCCAACACCGTGAGGATTCTGCTGGTGAAGCTGTGTGGTACGGCGCCGGAAAAACCGCTGTGGTCCATAAATCCCAGCTGGGATGTGCCCCAGCCGCTAAAGGCAATGGTCATGGCGATGCCAGTGAGCTTCCTGCAGGATTTCAGCTATGTGCTGCTCGGTAAGGCGCGGGAACTGGCGCTGAGGGGCGACTACATTGAGGCCGTGTCAATGTTGAGTGTGTTAAAGTCTGAGACGCAGCGCCAGGAGATAGCCGGCAATACCCAGCTGATGTGCAAGCTGCTCACGTGGGAGATTCTGCATATCCAAATAACGCAGTCCCTGGAGGAGTGGCACCAGAAACCGCTCGACCTACAGTCGCTGGGATCCCGATGCAAGCAGTGTCTCAGTGTACTCCAGGCGGGCGATTCCATAGTGCCTCGGCCGGAAATACTCGAAAGTTGTGCCGTTATGCTGCTCAATCTGACAGATTTCCCGCCACTCCTCTACCTGGACAAGAGGACGGGTCCGCTCGAACTACCTCTAGCCTTTGCAGCCACCTTCATCGAAATGGAGAAGATGAAGACCACCAAGAAGGTGTCTCGCGATGCGTGGGAGCTTATGGTGAGCATGTTCCTCAATGTGCCCAAGCGATCAACGCCATCTAGTGGCGGTAGCAGCTCTCTCCAGACATTCTTGCAACGTGTTCGACACCAGAATATCTTTGGTCTGGCCATCTCCATGCTGGGCAAGCTGCACAACATACTCAAGGATGATCCCAACAACGATCTGAGCTGTGAATACATGCACCTCTGGCCCACCAGCGTTAACAAGTGAGTTCATGCATCATAAAGGTACAATCTCTAAGTGAAATTTGTCGCAATCCTCTCAGCCCCATTAGCTTTAGCCTGCGCAGTGTTTGCGAGACGCTTCAGTGGCTGCTGTCCGAGGCTCTGACATACTATCCGCAGACCATTTCGTGGCTAAAAATGAAGGGTGATCTGGACCTGGCCATCGGCAACAATGAATCAGCCATGCGGTGCTACGTAAATGCCTTGGTGACCGGAACGGACTACTGCACGATACCGTTGCAGCGCAATGTGGCGGATGACTATGTTATACGCAAGATGATTCGCTGTGCCGCCAATTTGGGCTGTCATATGCAGGCAACCGTCCTGTGTCAGTTTCTCGAGGAGATCGACTATGGGATTGTGTTTAAAAATCTTAGCGAAAAGTCTTCAAACTTCACCGATGCGATGGACTCGTACTACAGCTGCATATGGGACACTACGCTGCTGGAGTTTATTGTCAATCTGCATGCGAAGCGAGGCGAGCACAGTCGAAAACTGGAGGCGGTAAGTGCCAATCCCCCCGATCCTATAGAGGCACTCACACTTCTACTCTCTTTACACAGATCTCCATGATGGGCACTTTGGAGCTAAATGCCAATAACAACGAGGAAATCAAACGAGAAAGCGCCATGGTGCGGAAGTCACGCTTTATTCGCGCCCTTGGCCAAACAGTATTTGCTGTAGTCCCCCTCCACATCCACACCCACACCCACATCCCAACCTCATACAAAGACCAACTAGAAATAAACTCAGATTGATGTAGTTTTATATTAATTGTAGGCTTTAAATATGGTTAAGTTAATATTAAAGAAATTGTACGTTTTATACGAGAACAACTATTTGGGTCTCCTGCCACGTGCGGCACCGCCGCTGGTTTTAGCCTTCTTGTTGTTGGCACTCTTCTTGGCCTCCTCGGCCTTGCGCTTGGCTGCATTCACGGCATTCGGTGTGCTGGGCAATGTCTTAAAGAAGCTATCCAGTCGCACTTGGGTCTGGGCATGCTTGGACTTGAACAGCTTTTTGGCACCGTTGCGCACACGCTCCTCGCTGAATTGCCTGTCTCCGCAGAGGAACTTGACCAGTCCCTCCTCGTCGGGTTCCGTCCACTTGAGATCAATGGCAGAGGCATCGGCCACCTCTGGCTCAATGAAGAGCTCACGCGCCACTTTGTAGTTCCAGTTCTCGGGCACCGTGTACTTGCTGGTGTCCAGGTTATCCAGTATGGTCTCAATATCCCTATAGTTGTTGATCAGCTCTATGGCTCGCTTGGGGCCGATGCCCTTGATGCTCTCGCAGTAGTCGCAGCCCAGGAGGATGCAGAGATCGATGAACTCGCGATTGTTGACCTCCAGACCCTCGAGCAGCTTGTCGTAGCTAAACTCCTTGACGGGCATCTTGCGCGCCTCGCTATACGTGAGATACCTGAGCAGCTTTGTTGACCCAAATGTCAGCGCATCCATATCCTCCGTCGCCGTGGCATACACCTTTCCAGCCTTGACGAGAGCGGCACATTGTGCCTCGGCCTCACAGGGAGCGTCTACATACGGCACCCCCATCAGGGACAGCAGCTCCTTGGCTTCGCGGGCATGATCTTTGGTCACTCGAACCAGACGACGATTGAATTTCTCGATCTCCGCATCATCGCCGGCATCGGTGGCTGCCTTCAAGGCCTTCTCCGCCTCCTCGCGGCGCTCGGCACGCTTGGCCAATTCCCCAGACTTCAAATCTGGCGGCTTGCCATCAAACACATACACTGGCTTGATGCCGTTGTCCAGCAGTCTGATGGTGCGATAGAACATGCCCATTAAATGGGACGTGGGTTCTCCGTTGACAGTCGCCAGCTGAGCTCCCTCCGACCGTACTGCTATCAAGAACTGGTACAGGCACATACTGGCATCGATGGCCACCTTGCGACCTACAAAGTGCAGTATAGGATCAGGATTAAAACCGAGTTCTTTGTTCCACCACACTCAGACTCACCGAAGAAATGCTTCATTTCACTTTCACGTATGGCCTGGGGAGCCAGATCGGCTATGAGCTTTGATAAGCCCAAAATTCCCATGGCAAGTCTGTTCTTACTGAATCGCGTGTACGTTAATAGATGTGTATGGTTTATAAAAAGGTCACGCCGGTTTACAAATTAGTTTTGCCTGCAAAACACGCGCGCTTTTTTTTTTTGGCGACAAGCCACTATCGATACAGTATCGATGCGGCGATGACCATCGGTGTTTTCGATAGTGAAAAGCGAAATTTGTGGGAAAAGTTTTAGATCTATATAAGTTAAACAAAAAACGGCACTCTCCAAACAGAAATTATTAGCTATTAAGATCAGTAAGTACATATTTTAAAATATATAACATAATATTTCAATATATCATATCGCGATAAAACAGCATCCTCTTTCCCATTTGGTATTTTTTAGGCACTATTGCGTGCGATGCGATACCATCGTGACACCTCTAGTGAATGTGAATGTGTGTCGGCTGACGGAAAAATATAGAAACCATTAGAAATATGGTACGTAAAATTGCGAAAATAGTTTTAAAACAAAGTTTAAAGTGTGTGCCAAGGACGCGCATTAAAAACGGCTTGTTCGCAAATGTGTTTTAGTGTTAATAGAGCGCAACAAATATTGGCTCCAGAGAGGATGCGGATTGTCCGACTATCGTTCTCTCCCCGCTCATTTTATTTGTATAAACATGGCGTCGTTGTGGCCTGTGCCTAGGTTTCAGTGTGTGGGAGTGAGACAACGAGTGCGTGCGCGCCTCATAGATTTGCAATGTTGTTTTTCAATTTCTATCTCCTCTCCCTCTCACTCTCTCTCGCGCTAGTCGTGTGGAAGACACGCATACACAAGCTCTCGAACTCATTCCGAATAAAACGCACTAAATCGAATGGTAGATGGCACTCGCCGCCAAAAATTAACAAGTGAAATTAAAATGTGACTTCGTATCTTTTTCCACTCTTTCTATTGCCAGGATGCTAACAAAGCGGCAGACACGGCGGCCAAAGAGAATGCCGCCGATAAGGAAATCGAGTCGAAGGCAGTGGAGAATGCAGCGGCGGCCACCGAGGACCGCGATGAGGAGTCCAAAGGAGCCGAACAGGGGTCCGATGCAACGACACCCGCTCCCGACGACGACGGGGCCTCCGCCACCACCGCTGATGACGTCGCTGATAAAAAGCCCAAAGGAGACACAGCGGCAGCCCCCACCCCCGACTCGGATGCAGGTAAATAAAAGCCACGCGCACACAACGACAACCTGCCTATGTAGCAAATGTCGTATCAATAGTGTTCGTTGGTGTTGGTGAAGAAAGAGCGAGAAAAACAAAAATCATAAAATGAATTTTGCGCGCGTTTCGCAACGCGGCGAAATGGATTCATTTTCATCTGTCCCCAACAGAGAGTGTCTGGTAGGGGGGCCCATGTGCTCGCCGGCCCGCATAAATATGTGTGTGCGTGTTCCTATTGGCTCTCTGCTGCTTGTTTTCCGAGTTTACGTATGGCGCTGTCGTCTAAACTGCTCGGCGTACTTTCTTGTCGATATGATGATCCATGGTTCGAACCCCACAAAAAAAGAGGTGGCGCGCGGTGGAAAGAAATCTCCACACGGGAGAGTAAAAGATAATTTTCGTTTTCCTTGGCTATTGTTCATGCTAATCCTTTCCAATGGGGTTTTGCGTAGTAAAGGCCGAGGTATAGCAACGTGTTCAGTATTCATAGTTCCTTGCGCTCCTAAATGAAGTTAGCTCTGGACTTCCCAAGGCTGAAGACATTTTTCTTTTGCAGCAGTTAATTTCTTTTCTTTGATTTAAAGAAATTTCCAATCAATTTTCATCCTTTTTTTTCCATTTGCTTATGCAGACGCATCGGACAAAACGGAGGTATCGCCTGCTCCGGTGAAGAAAGTTAGCACAAACAGCAGCAAGGATGCAAAGAAGGAGGATGCGAAACAGGAGAATGAGGAGGGAAACGAAGACGATGTCGATGGCGATGGCCAAGAGAATGAGGGGGAGGACGACGAGGACAAGGGTAGCGATGAGGAGAGCGACAGGACCAGCAAACCTGCTGCAGATGAAAAGCACAAAAGTAGTGACGCCACGGATGGGGCAAAGGGAAAGACAGTTGCGGGAGCTGAAAAATCGGCCCCAACCAAGAAAACATTGTCCAAGCCTAAAAATGGTAAGGTGGAGAAAGAAGATGACGAGGACGAGGAAGCAGAAGATGCTGACGAGGACGATGGTCTGGATGAGAACAATGAGGTAGCTGAGGACGATGAGAATGTCGTGGCCTTGGCAGAGATCGATCGCATAAATGAGAACATCAACAAGACTCGTGTCGACGGACTACAGACCCTACATGCGGTGAGTGGAAGAAAATTCCCTTTCGAAAACAATTTATTAAACTTGAAATTGATTCTGTTTTAGCTCTGCTTTGGGGCGCAAGGCAAAAACAATGTTGTAAAGAAAAATCTGAGATCCTTTGCTGGGTTCGAGTTTGCCAAGGACTCGACAGAATATAACAAGAAACTCGAAGCCATCAAGAAGGTGGACAACAAAGGGCTGCGCAGCATTTGCGAGATACTTACATTGGATCGCAAAGGCAGCAAGAATGAAATCGTAATGCGAGTGCTCAAATTTCTCATGGAGCCCGACGAATCGCTGTGCTTAGAGCAGGGCGATGAAGATGAGGAGGAGCCAGATGAGGACGACCTGGACGAAGAAGAGGAAGAGGTCAGCGAGGATGACAAGAAACGTAAGAGCAGTAAGTCGGGTGCTTCCGGCGGCAGAGGCTCGGCCAGAAATTCTACCGGACGTCCACGGCGATCGACGGCAGGCAAAAGTAAGACAGAAAAAAACATTAGTTCGAGAGATCCTTAACCCTGACCTTTGTGGCGTTTTCTTTCAGAAATGTCTGCATACGTTGACTTTTCTAGCTCTGAGGAGAGCGAGCACAAAGTTACGGTAGTCAAGCGGAAACGCAACGATGACTCAGAGTCGGGCTCAGACGTAAGTAATGCAGCGTATGATGCCAAGATTTGTTTCTACAATTTCTACCCTCAATTGCAGTACAATCCTTCTGCAAACTCAGACTCGGATGCCGGTCGTGGCGGTGGTGCTGGTGCAGGAAAAGCTGGTCGCAACGCGTCTGTTCGTGGCAGCCGGGGTCGTCCCGCGCGCAAAAGTCGGCGAAGAAACTCGGACTCTGAGGAAGAAGAAGAGTCTGAACTCTCTGATGCTGACAGCGATGTAAGTCTATCCCTTGAACCCTTTCCAAATCAGGTGCTTGAACCACGGATCTTTCGAACAGGTGCCGAAGCGCAAGCGCGGAGCAGTAACTGGCAAGCGTGGACGACCGGCAGTAGCTGCCGTGGCTGGACGACGGGGACGTGGACGGGGAGCAGCTGCTCGTAAACGCAAAGATTCTGACAGCGAGGACGATGAAATTTCCGAAGATGAAGAGGAGGAGGAGCTGTCCGAGTTTGGCAGCGACCAAAGTGAGGTAAGCATCAAAACTGACATGGTGAACGGGTCCAAAGAGCGGGAAAGGTAATCACATCTCCATTTTGCAGGATTTACGCCCCAAGAAGAGTAGGAAGCCAACCACGCCTGCGAGAAATAGCAAAGCTAATAATAAGTCAAAACCAGCTGGAAAGGGTAAGTTCACACAAGCACCTTTTGAGCCACTAGTTCCTTTTTAACCTGCCTCTTTCTCCTTGGTATCCAGCCGATGGTCGACCAAAAAAATCAAAGAAAGAATCGTCCGAGGAAGAGGATGATGATTTAGATGACAAAGATGAGTCCGACGAGGACGAGCCGCTAAC